AAAAAAAAAAAAGGGACCAAAAGGGCACATTGGGATCATGGAACAAAAGGGGCAGGTGCTCAAGCCCCCTTAGCCCCCCCCTCTGCACGTGCCTGCTCCAAAGAAAATACACAGAATGAGCAGAAACACAGAAATTGCACAGGGCTGCTGCTGAATACTTTTGCATTAACAAGATCCATAGCTGCACTGTAACATATATATATTTACTATGCGTGTGTGTATTAGCTGATATCCAATACTGATACGATTCAACTGCTGAATGAATGAACCACATATAGCCTTGATATAAAAATTGTACACAGATACAAATGTACTTTATAATATTTATTAACAAATAAGTAGCAAAAATAAAGAAATGTTAAATTCACTGGATTGGATCGGTGATATCAAATCACCGATATCCAGCAAATTAGTCAATATCGAAGCCGATATCCGATCCAGGTATTGTTTCACTAAATGAGGACGGGGATGCATGAAAAAGCTGCAGAACAGCGGCACTCAGGGACCAACGTTTCATTCCTCTGCTCTGATCCAAACTTTGCTTCTCTAAATTGGACCATGTGCAATGCACAAGTGCTTTTTTTTAATTATTCTGCATTATCAAAGCAAAGCATTTACCAAACATTTTCCTCTGTATCATACATGGTCCAAATATGTTGTAAGTCTCCCCCCCCCACACATCAGCCTTGGAGTCTAGTAGTTGTATGCCTTTTTGGACACAACATAGGTCTTCCATATCTGCATTCTTTCCTCTAAGACTCAGTAAAGTGAAACTTCATGCTCATTTTTCACATAAAAGGCTCAGCTTTTTACTTTTACAGCATTTCTCATAGTAACGTGACCCTTTGGCATGAGAAGTTAAAAAGGAGGGGGGCCCTGTTTTCCCAGAGGAATTTAAACAGAGCTCCGTTTATAGCCAAGGCAGGACGGACATGCATTGGCCTAACTACGTTTTGCTTTTTCTTTGCTGTAGTGTGCTTATTCAGGGTGTTTGATCTTGCTTTTTCTTAGTTGTGTATTTAAAGTGTATTTAAGCATTTTTAACATATTGTATGAAATACATATGTTCCAATTGAACAGGTTTTTTTTTACTTGAAATCCTATTTTCACCAACCCTTCTGTTAAAACCTGAGAGCCAGCCCTTTGAACGCTGATGCTGCGTTAGCAGGGAGATGATGTCACACAATGTGCCCTTTCAGTGTGTGCCATCTCAGCCTGTTGCTCAAACTAGATCGCGCCAGGTGTTAGTCATTTCCTAAATCCCTTCAGACATTACCTTTCCTCGCCGGGCTATAAACGAAGAAGCGGAAAAACATGGCTTAGGATGTTTGTGTGTCTGGAATGTGGTTCTCAGTCGCTTATAAAAATCAGCAGATAAATCAATGCATTAAAGAAAAAAGTTCAGCTCAAACTTCCATTGGCAGGGGGATTATTTGATTCTCATTATTCCTGCTATTTAGACTCCCTGCAGATTTGAACTCCTTAAGGAAAAATGTAATAACTTTAAAACTGAGTTCCTGTTTACACAATCTTTGGGCCTAATTGCTAAATTACTACTAGAAGCTTTGTTTTTAAATAACTAGCTGATGTAGATTTCTTTGCATGTGGCAACAACCTCTTCATAATATTGATCAAGTTTGTATTATTACTTCAGAAACCCCCTTTCTTAACTATAGGGTCACCTCCTTTTTTGATGGTGAGCACTACTTCAGGGGGTGCTGATTCATAAAAGGGCTACCAAAACTGACCTATGACCCAGAAGGGTCAGCATTCACCTACATTTTATGTATAATAAACATATACTTTTATTTTTAGCAATTTTCAAACTATAGATGCAATTGTGAATAAAAAAGAAGAGCACCAGAATCAAATAGAGTTTTAGACGCTGCAGTGTTTGCTTACTGGTCAGCTGTAATATGTAGTCCTTTGGGGCACCATGGTGACATGTGGATCATACGATACAATATAAAGAGATTTGCTGCTTGAAATAAATATCACTGGGTATGCTAAAACAAATTACATTAATTACTGCTTGGAATTTAATATGCAATGTTTGGTCGTCATTCTCAATTGTTCCCGCATTCAGTCAGTTATTACATTTTTTACTATGGTTTTTTTTTTTTAATGAACTTACTCCATGGTTTTTGCCAGTAGGTCTCAGCTCATAAGCAGTTTGGCACTTTTAAGTGTCCAGATCGCATTCAAAGAGAGGACTACGTAAAACTGTTAGTCCTCTGGGCCGTCTGCACTGAAAAAGGCCAGTACTAATATTAGTCTGTAAAGCTTTGGAGCTTTAAATGTTTTTTAAATGGCATTAATTTAACATCTAGTCAAAGTGAGAATCAGATCTAGGTTGTTCCAAGATTTTAATGCAATTAAAGACAAATCCTTGGAGGAAAAGGGTTTTATTGCACATTTTATGCACCACAAGAGCTAGGTTTGTTAAAACCTCCAATTATTTAGTAGATAGTTATGAGAAACCAAATGCTGAGTTGAAAAGTAGGTCACTTAAGATGGTTTGCTAATGAGACACATTTTAATTGTTGAACGTGGGTGCAAAGTTTGTGTAGCTAGAAGACGACTGTCTGGGAGCCTTTCTGCTTCTGTTTAGCTGTTAAATCAAGAAAAGCTTGAAAGAGCAAATTAATTTTTTTATGGATTTTTTTCCAGGTGAATAAGAAACAAAGAAAACATAAAAAAAAAAAAAGTTTAAAACAAAAATGAAAGACTATAATACTACTGTTGTGAAAATAATGACTGTTGTGAATTTGTTCTTCCATTCCAAATAAAATAAAAACTATATATATATATATAAAATTTTATTGGCCGACATCTAAAATCTCCGATATTTTCATGCTGATAGAAACTCTGCTTCTATTGAAAGTCTCTGTAACCCATTGGTTGATCCGACATGGGTCAGTCTTTTTCTTACCTTTTGTTGTTGATTTTCGTTTGAGTAATATTACTTGATAAGCCTTTTCTAACATGCTACAGTTTAAAATAAGTGATAAAAGTTGGTGTGATTCGTGGTAATATCGTATCGGGTTAATATCGGTATCGGCTCATTCTCAAAGCTGCACGGTATCTGGAATTAAAAGGTTGTATTGGGACATTCCTACTAAGATATAGTGTTTTCATCTACACAAACTGATGGTACGTCTAAAAGTGTGTTTACTTTCCAGCTATTGTAAAAAAACAAATGAAAAAAGATATTGCCTGTTTATTAGCAATAGTATTACCAAATGTAATTGTTGTAATGAAACTAGCCTATTTAGTAGTTTAGTTTCGTTAGTTGTAATCGTACTTGAACTCCCATTCTTTGTGATAACAGAGGCATCAAGATTTATTCATTGAAATAATATTATATTAATCTTTATTGTGGCATATGCCACAATATATTACGCAACGTTAAAGCCATATCGCCGGATCAAAGACTACATGCCAACAGTTTGTGAGACCAAAGAATCATGGAGCGCCACAGGGGACTGTGCTTTCACTGTTTATTTTACACCTCTGACTTCCAGCACTGTCATCTGCAGAAATGCTCCGAGGAATCTGCAGTTGTTTGTTGCATCAGAAATAGACAACAAACTGAGAACAGGGCGGATAATGGTTATGTGTGGAATCAATAATCTGATCCTGAATGTGAACAAAACAAGAGAGATTTTGTGGATTTCAGGAGAACAAGAATAGATCAAACTTTTTCTTTTTTAGGTTAGAAGAATAAGGATTATACTTCGCTCGGTTTTCACTTCCTTCTGTGTTTGCAACAGGATTCTGCAAACACCACCTTGTATGAGTTTGTCGTGGAGATTGTGATCTTTTCTGCCATTATCTGCTGGGGTAGAAGCATCACAGCAAACGGTTTAAAGAAGCTTAACAAGCGTTTTAGGAACGCTGCTGAACCTCTGGAGATGATTTCACAAAGAATGCTCCATAAAATTTATGTACATAATGGACAACCCTGATCATCCTCGTTTTCAGATTGTCATATAACAACAGAGTGTTCTCAGTCAGAGGCTGATTTACAAGATTTTTCTTTAGCATTGATAGAAGAACATTTTTAAATTGAATTGAATCCTTACTTGTTATGCCATTTTTTAAATCTTGCATTCAAAGTGAATCCTGTTTTTAAACTATAAAGGAGCATTGCTTAAATTCCAGAGTTTTTAAAGAGCTTTGCCCCCTCAGGGGCAAAGGCATGTCAGGGAAAGATAACTAATTATATGCAACTTTTTAATTTGCGCAATGCTCCTTAAATGTGTAACATTCAGATTAAACTCATTTAAAAAGTGCATTTATATCCATTTTTTTCTGGAAGAGAGGAATGGTGATTGAAACTGAGCTTAAAATTAGACAATAATGGAATCCTTCAACAGATTATAACTGAATTAGATTCTGCATTCAGGCAGTGAAACGGTGGCCTGACTCTGAGCCTGTGAGGCTGGGTGATATGATGCCGGCCTGAAAGCTTATCCAGCTCCGACTGCTTGTCAGTAAACCTTGATCCTTTAAGTTTCCCCTTTGTGTTGCTTTCCACTTACAGAGGAGAGCTAAACTTACTGCATTAACCCTAATCTCATTTAGTTTTTAATGTGTCAGTAATTCCATGGACATTTAGCATGTATTTACTTCTAAATGTAAAATAAAACAGTGTTTTTTAAAGTTAAAAAGTTTTGCTCTTTCCATGACTGAAGTCAGACTTTATGCAGCTGTTTTTTTTGTGAGTGTGAGAGCAGCTTATACAACAGAAGCCCCCAAAAAATGACTACATGTGGGATAATTACAGACAGCAGAGGACAGAGGATCACCACCATGAGATTAGAAAACTCTTTTAACTTCATGGGCATGATGTCTTGCTGCTGTTCCTTGATTTTCTTTTGTGGTATTCTAATGTTAACATCTGTAAGTATCTGTTTAGTGCCGACATCTAGAGTCTGCAGCGTTTGTGTGTGTTTGCTGAACAGATTTATTGATGTTTTGCTTTTCCTTATCTTCAGAACCACTGGGGGAGCAAAGCGGTGGGCAGAAAACCAGGAGGAGCCCCCTACAGGCACTCTATGAGGGGGACCAGGTCAGTGTTGCTCGCTCATGTTCACCGCTTACAGCTGTTGTGTAAAACCGCACTTTGACCTTTGGCCAAAGAGCATTTCTCCAGAAATCCTTTAGGTTTTGATGCAACTCTGCTATTCACAGCCATTCTGCCATATTTCTTAAAGAAAGAAGTAAACTGAAAGGTGTAATTTGTAATTTTCTATCATGATTACATGCATTTCTTCTCTTGTAGTCATAGTCAAAACCCATAACAGCTATAGATGTCCTTTAATAAAGATTGCTCAGGGACTGCTTTTGCAAGCTTACAAACAGCCTTCTATTTTCTGCTAGGACTTTTTGACATGTTGGTTTCACATGTTTGCACATTTGCAGCATCAAAATTAGAGGAAAACTGTTATTTTTCTCACTTATTAACACACATATTATTTTCTTCTGCCAACCCTAAATGATAGCATAGTTACACAAGCTTATGGCAGCACTGTCTAACTTTTAGCCACTAGGGTCACTAGACCTGTAGCTTCCAGCTTTAGTACCTCTGAAAGCAACTGGCAGTCTCCCTCCTTTGGAGCAGTGAAGTGGGAAGTAATGGATTAATTCCCACATGTATCCCTCTGGATTAAATCCTACAGCAGAGATCCAAAATATGTCTGATCAGATTACTTTCATATCTGTTTTTTCCCCTCCTAACAGCAACTTAGCTTAGTTAGCTGAGCTCAGACTGCAGTAAACAGGCCAGCATGCAGGAAGCATCGATATATAGAAAAAGCTCTACACTAACCTGAAAAACCCATTCTGCTTCAATATTTCTATCTTTCTGTGTTAGTTTCTCTAGGGTTTTTATTTTCTTTACAAAGTCATTACTGATTATTTTCTTCTTCTTTTTTCCTATACTGTGTGAGGACACCCACTCATCCTCAACAGCTGTTCCCAGTTTAAGCTCTCTGTGGGGAAAAAGAGGTTTAATTTTCATAAAACTAACAAGATTCAGCTGACTTTACTTAGAACTAACTGCTTGTGTTATTTTCTGATTTCTTTACTCTTAAAGACAGAAAACTCCACTGTCTGTGATGAAGTAATAGCTCCTCAATCAATAAACTAAACTAAAAAACATTCAGCCATAAATACTTCCCTTTCTTAGTGTTGGGGCAGTGGATGGTTGGGAAATAGTTAGATATTTAGTTGTAACCTAAAGTTAAGGTGTAGGGGTACAAATAAGGAATTAAACATGACCTAATGTCGGTCTATTTCAGTGCAATTATAAAGAATGATGAGGAAATAAACTGTTCTTGTTTGTAGGGTTGCAGGTATTATTTTAGTTTTGCATCTGCGATTTATTTGTATGATTTATTTTTCAATTAATCAAAAAATAGATACTTTTAGCTGAATTAAAATCTCTAAACAAGCATCTGAAAAGTAGAAAAAGAACATTTATTAAACACTTTCTTGGCAAAAAAATGTTTATATATACATGTATATAAAAATGTGTATGTATATATACATATATATGAAAATATATATATATATATATATATATATATATATATATATATATATATATATATATATATATATATATATATATATATATATATATATATATATATATATCCATCCATCCATCCATCCATCCATCCATCCATTTTCTTTACACGCTTGTCCCAAGTGGGGTCGCGAGGGGTGCTGGTGCCTATCTCCAGCAGTCAATGGGCGAGAGGCAGGGTACACCCTGTACAGGTCGCCAGTCCATCACAGGGCAACACAGAGACACACAGGACAAACAACCATTCATGCACACACTCACACCTAAGGACAATTTAGAGAATAACCTAACAGTCATGTTTTTGGATTGTGGGAGGAAGCCGTAGTATATATATATATATATATATATATATATATATATATATATATATATATGTGTGTGTGTGTGTGTATATGTATATGTGTATATGTATATGTGTATATATAAGTATATACTGTATGTATGTATATGTGTATATATATGTATATGTGTATATATATGTATATACTGTATGTATGTATATGTGTATATATATGTATATGTATATGTGTATATATATGTATATATGTATATGTGTATATATATGTATATATGTATATGTGTATATATATATGTATAAAATGTATATATGTATATACTGTATGTATGTATATGTGTATATATATGTATATGTATATGTGTATATATATGTATGTATATATGTATGTGTATATATGTATATATATTTGTATGTATATATATATATATATATATATATATGTGTGCGTATGTTTGTATATATATGATAAATAGAAACTGTTTAGATTTTAATGGGATTTTGACTCATCAATCTTTCACTTCGTTGCGTTGTACTTGTTACAATGTAATGACAATAAAGTTGATTTTTTTTTCTTCTATTCTTCTTAATCTAGGCAACAGTTCGATTTGCTTACCAAACTAGTTGATTATTATCCGATTCCTCAGGATTAATCATGTCGGCCCTACGTAGGGCTCTTTCCTTTCCGGCTCACTCGAGGATCTGAAGTGCAAATATTTGTCTTTAAAAAAAGCAACGTGGTCTGGACGATGTTCCCACCATTTACAGAAGGCCTAATTAATTTGATTGGAAAGTTAAGAGGACAAAAGATATGAGGATTGTGAAGCCAACCTTTGGGTGGAATCCTCAAAGCGGGAATTGTGACCAGAGCCAGGAGGTGAGATACAACAGCTAAATGACTGGATTCCTAATGAATGTACAGTACATTAGGATCCTTAAATCTAAAGGGGGATTGAAGGTATAGAGTCCAGATTGTTTGCGGTCACATTTGAAGTGTCTGCTGTCAGGAATGATTTTAGAAGCTCTGCCATCTGTTGGTTTTGTTCCCCTGCTGTAATTAAGTCAGCACAGGAAACTGGTTTCATGCTCCCGTCTGCTGATAAGCCTTATGAAGATGCTGATGTCGTTTTCCAGTAGGATTCACAATGAGAAATACCTGCTGCTCATTCACCAGTAAACAGGCCTGAAGTGATGCAGTAATTAATGCAAAAGAAGACTAAAAATGCCCCAATAAAGTTAACATGGAAACCCGCTTCTATTCCTAAATGTTACCTTTGTACAACCACTTGATGGACATTTTATTTTTTTTGCATGACTTGCAATGCGTTGAATAAGGTTTTCCTAAAAAACAAAACCGTATTAACCCTCAGCATGTAGACGAAACCCTGCTTCTGTCTTCCACTGACATGTTTGTCTTGGGGAGTCCTAGTTGCTATAAATGTCCCTACACCTTCCACACCAAGAGATTTAAAGACGAGATTCACTGAGACTTTATATGTCGTGCTCCAACCTGTTATAAGTGAAGCGGCCAGCATCGGCTGCTCAGAGCTTAACCGCTCTCTGATTCCTGGATGTTACAGTCTCAGAAAACACAGAGAGGCAGTCATTGAGTGAGACACGGAGTCAAACTCTGGAGTTCTAGGGCTGCGACCGCAGCAGTCCTTTGGCGGGCAGAGTAAATAAAAAGAGTAAATAAAACATTTGTGCCAATTGGAGACCAGGGTGAACTAGATGACCCCTCATTTGACCAGGTAGCTGTACGTTCCAGTGGTGGTGAAGACCACCCGCTGAGGAGAACCTGATTTTCACTCACTTGGGAGAAGTGGAGTCCCTATTACAAACAGAACTATTGCGCTAACTTCTAAATCTGTGTTTGATGAGGAGTATATTTACCTCCAGTGCAGTGCCATGCTGAAGGATTTAAACCCCTTTTATATATTTAACACTTCTCTACATACAGCCACAGAGTTGAATGTATCGTGTAACAGCTCCATACAAAGTGGGGCTTTGTGCAGTAAAACGTAGAAGGAAAGAGATACCTGCTTCCTGTTATAAAAAAAAATAGAAATCTGATATGTAACATCATATGTAACAACACTTACTACTTTGTCACTTAAAATCGCTAAAGTGAAACTATTCGTTCCTTTTTAATCTCCCCACAGGTTGAGTCTCCAGTTCAGGCTATCCATCAGGGTCGCCGGGAGCTGTTGGAAGAGGCCTGTCGCTCCTACACCCGGAAACGCAGAGTCCTCATCCCTGAAGATCTGAAGCACATTATCGTGGACGACAAGCACGGCTTGCTGTACTGCTACGTGCCCAAAGTGGCCTGCACCAACTGGAAGAGAGTGCTCATGGTTCTAACAGGAGTCTCAGGAGACCACAAAGACCCGCTAGCCATCCCTGCCAACGAGGCGCACGTCCCGGGAAACCTCCGCACTCTGTCAGAATACTCCAACTCCCAGATCAACCAGCGCCTGCGCTCCTACCTGAAGTTCATTTTTGTGCGCGAGCCATTCGAGAGGCTGGTCTCTGCTTATCGCAACAAGTTCACAAGGAGCTACAACACCGCTTTCCATAAACGATACGGAACAAAGATAGTGCGCCGGCATAGGGCAGACCCTCAGCCAGAAGCCCTGGAGAAGGGCAATGATGTCTCTTTCGAGGAGTTTGTCTATTATCTTGTGGATCCTGCAACCCAGCGAGAAGAGCCTTTCAACGAGCACTGGGAGCGGGTCCACTCACTGTGCCACCCCTGCCTCATTCACTACGACGTGGTGGGGAAATATGAGACGCTGGAGCAGGACTCCCGCTACGTGCTGCAGTTGGCAGGGGTGGACAAGCAGATCCGCTTCCCCGCCTCGTCCAAAAGCACCAGGACTACAGGAGACATGGCGGCAAGTTTCTTTCAGAACATCAGCCCCTTTTACCAGAAGAAGCTTTACAATCTTTATCGCATGGACTTCCTGCTCTTCAACTACACTGTCCCAGCCTACCTCAAATTCAGATGAGGCTGGGACTTCATTTGGCCGCAGGCTTCAGCTTTCTCTTTCTGCCACAGACTCTGTCCTTAATGGAACGACAAAAACATTATAAAATAAAAAAACACCTGTTTTCGGATCCAAAATATCTGTTTTCAGAGTGAAAAACATTTGTCGAGGACATCCCATCATGAGATCAGAGCTCTGTCCTTTGAGGCTAAGGAGATTTAAATGGAAACATGGAGTCAGTGTTGGTCTGAATGAGTTAAATGCTGTTCAAACTTTTTATTTGTATTCAGTTGTTTTCTGCTGTTTTAAATGTTAATTTGCACAAAACAAAGAGCACAGGAGCTGGGCAAATCGCATCCAAATGTGTGGACAGCGAATGTCTCGAGACGTGCCTTTGGATCGCAGGCCTTTCTTTGTCCCCTGGAAAAAGAGACAGCTTTTATTTTCTAAATGTGATTCCTGAACCTGTCTTTTACTGTAGGATAAGATTTTTTTTGTGTAACTGTTATTTCTATTTATTTTTAGCTCTAAAAAAAAAAAAGAAAAAAGAAAAAGACAAACCAAACTAGGTATAATTTCTTCCACGTCTTTCAAATAAATGCATTTCACCAACATCAACGTCACTTCTCCTACATGTTTTATTTAACTGATCCAAGTTTTACAAATGCAGATCTGCATGCATTTCAAAGAAACAAAATAAAAAAAGATCCAGACAAACAGAGACACACACAGACGAGTTCACGCCAAGCGACGGCACACAGCAGAACTTTGACCAAGGCACACATCTACCCAAGACAAACACTGAAAAGGTCATGGAGGCCAGCATCTGGTTTATGTCGGCATTCAGCACTCAGTAGTGTCCTTTGGTCATAAAAAAAGCATCTACCCTAATAGCTGTACAAATGCATTGATGTGTGTTTATACAGAGCTAATTGCTCTGATTCTTGACATGCGGTGATAAAAGGAGCAGGAAGAAAAACTGGTGAATTTACCCAAACTAAAATAAATATTTATATGTTGTTCTTTGTGCTTGGTTATTAGCCATGCAACTACTCATGGTAAGATATCAAATAGAAGGCCTCATCTATTTAAGCTTATCTGCTATCTGTTACTCTAAAGCACTTAAATTGTAAATGCACACAGACTTCATTCAAAATGTAATATATTTTGAATAAGCGTGTGAAGTTGAATTTTGTATGTACCTTTCCTGCATATGCTTTGGTAAATCTATTCTAACTCATTAAGCCATAACACTCCGCAGCCTTTGGACCTCATATTGGTTCTGTTGGTCTTCATTACTCTGCAGTTGCTTAGTTTAACCAGTAGTAGCAGTGTGTTTGGTGTCTTATCTCTGGAAAATAAGTTTTCCAAGCTCTGCTCTTATAAACCTCCTCATAGAATGATACTGCCACCACCGTGCTTCATTTCAGCATGCCCTGCAGCTCTCTAAAGACCAGGTAAAGGCCATCCATACATACATTAGTTCACTAAAGATCACCTAATCAAGTAAGAAAGTGGGAATAGGAAATTTATTTTTTTTAAATACCTTTCATAAGCTTTTTTTTTTCCCTCTTTAATGAAGCATAATATGCTTTGATTTTGTATCATTGTCCTTCAAGCTGTATCCTTCAGCCTGATGGGAGAAACTGGTGCTGAAATTCTGCACAATAAAAGCTCAAAGTCCAGTCTGGTTAGAGCTGCCCATGGTGAGGAGTCTGAAGGTCAGGGCCAAGAAACCCGTGCCCAGCAGGTCCCCCAGAGCTGTGAGGTAAGGGATGGAGTAGTTGTCTGGGTCCAAGCTCCTCCTCCACAGCCAGCGGACCATCAGGGTGGCAGAGTAGAGCAGAATCACCACCTGGGTGAGAACAACACTTAGAAATGTCTCAGATAAGAACAATGAAGGAAATTATGATGTCCTCCATGAAGAGAAGCTCTTTTTTTTTTTTATGTTTCTAACCTGAAGCAGAGCTGCACACAGGTAGCAGAAGATGAAGGTAGGCGTCAAAGGGGTGTGTCCTCCCTGCAGTAGCTGGACAGTGTACAGGAAGAGGAAGTGACCCGGCACGACAAGGGTGACCAGTACTCTGGCAGATTTAGAGTTCACATCTGGATAAACAAGAAAAGAGAAGCAAAAGTATTTTCTTTCACAGATACATCCAATCCTAACCTAACAATACCTAACATATGCGCAGAGGTGGGTAGTAATTACTTACATTTATACAGTTACAGTCACTTGAATAACATATTTGATAAAAATATACTTTTTAAGAGTAATGCACCATACTTTTTTACATGAATATCTAAATAAAATATTGCTACCCTTACTGGAGTCAAACACTTGGCTAACACATCAATCTTGAGTAACTTCAGACGAGTTTATACCTAGGTTTAGTGCTCTTATTTTGTACAATGCTTACTTGAACCTACCGGGACACTTGGAGGTAAAGCTACATTAAGGAGGAAATACTGTCAGTGGAGGTACTGGTTTCATAAGCTTTGTATAAAAAAGGTAAAATGGTTCGGAAAAGTGTTTTTGTTTGGTTTTTTTTCTGTCTGGAATTGTTATGTTTCATTTGTTATAATTATTTTATTAACAGAATTTTCTCCTGATTTCTGTCTTTATTATATAATTGTCAGTATTAGACTTTATGGTGAGTTACTTGGTACCTTTTTGCCTTTTATGTGAGTAATTTCTGGGGTGGCTGCTTTCGGGTACTCTACCCATCTCTGAATTTATGTTTTTGGGCTTTGGAAGGAAGCCCAAAACCTTTCACAGCCAAAAATCTGAATTTCAGGACATAGACATCAGCTAAAAAAGACAGGATTCTGCCCAAAGAACTTAGCTGCTATAATAGCCCCTTTGTCTAAAAATTGAGCCAGAATCATCACGCTCTTCCTCACATCACTAACCTGGCAAAAGACAGATTTACACTGTTTAGAATTCAAATGGAACTACACCTATTGATCTGGAAAGCCTCATGTAGAAAGTGTTTGCAAAAGGGAGAGACATTCAGTGCAATTCTTTGAGCTGATTGATTATCTGCCTACCTTGTCAAGTCTTTAGCCAATCACAGCAGCTGTAGCAGCTTGATATGTTTCAACTAGCAGAGTTAACTGATGAATCGGGGGAACACACAGAGATCTCCCCCAGCCATAAAGTCACAAATATTGTTTCTAACGTATCTGCTGGCTTCGGGCCAGATGTATTTTCGGGAGTTTGTTAAATATCTTGACAATAAATCTTGCTTGCAAGTTAATCACATCACAGGATAAGACAGAGCAATCAACCATGAATAATGACTTTCTTCTCTTTCATTGTATTTTCAATTCTTCCCAACTAACCAACTATTGAGTAAATGTCCATGCAGACCCAGATCTTAATGGGTGTGATATTTTTGCCGAGTTTTACCTGAGGAAAAGAAGGTGACGCAGGGCCCAGGACAGTTTGTTCTCATTTGGAGCGGAAAAGCTCCAGGAACGCTCCAGTAATGGAGGTACGTAGACATCCTGCTTGCCTGGATGGCCACGAGATTTCCTCCAACACCTGCAAGGACATGGAAAATAGAATGAAACTATTCATTTCTAATTTCAATCAAACAGGGATACAAAACAGAATTTTGTTAACTCCAGAGTTGTTGCACTTAATTGTAGCTAAGCAAACAAATGTGTCATTATCATATTCATTTTAGGAGAAATGCCACATCATCTGTCAAAACCAGATCCTGTTTATATTTTAAAGGTTGAGCACAGACTGCAAAGTATTAGAAATTAGCCACTATCCCTAAAAAAGTCACTTAACTTTTTATCTATTCAATAACTTTTCCTGTGCCTGGATGTTTTTCACCCTGTACTGTCTGGAAAGGCTTTGCCATGTTTGTGTTGTATTTTCAACAGCCTTTACCCCTTGGGCAAATTTTATGAGTAGCAGATCATCCTCTCTTTGCTCACAGAGCTTTGAAGCACATGGATCATTGAAACAGAACAAGGGAAGTGTTACTGGTCAACAAGGCATGAGAGGAGAGCCCTGCTTTGGAATGCAAATGCACTTCCTGGTCCGGGATGGCACAGAGGATGGCAGAAACAGGAGCCAGAATGCATAGTTAGCATTCTGATCAGGCTTGTGGTTCATGTAAAGACTGTTGTTATTCCTCTCTGCTTAGTATGCTGCTTTGTGGTCAGAGGGTTTCTGGTCAAAGAGGATCTGGCCCTTTACGCCTCTTTGAGGCTCCTTTGACATGGAGTCGGTCCACACACATTTCAAAAACACTTTCATTACTTATGATTGATGAAGTAGCGTTCAGCCTCAGCATGTGTTACAATTTTATGGTCGGGTAAAAACTAAATGGCATAATTCATTACAGTTTTCTGTTAACTTCTAACACTGCTCAGTATTTTAACAGCAGCTGGGGCATGTTTTTTTTTTTTTTACTGTTTGTTATAAAGCAAAGAACGAGCTTAAATACAATTCTTAAAAAATACTTATGTAGGTTGAACTTACAGTGGTACATTTGATCAGGCATGTGGGATAACTTTTTATTGGGCAGCAGAAAGGCATGTTTCATAAATGGTTTTAGGAGGGAATTGTTGGCAGCAGACTCACTGCAGAAGGAACTTTACCATGATGGCTATTGATAGGAAAGGCTGCAATATACAGCATATTTCAGATCAATGTGCTGTACATGACAAAAATATAATAGGAAAACATAGTGATATTTATATTTAGACAAATACTCAATATGAATAATTCAAGAGAATAAAAATCTATAATTAAAACTAAAAGCTAGTTATAAAAAAAAGTAAATCATAATATGCTTGAAATAAAATGAAATAAAGCTGGACTACAAGGTTGAGATCATAATGTTTGGATAGCAAACTTAACCAATACGTTTTTGGTTCCGATTTAAGGCAATTTAGGGTTTCAGTGTTTTTACATTTTATTCTGGGATTTCTTCCCACTTAGTGAAGCATATGAACTAAAAACTGCTTCTTCATGTTTTATTCTAGCCGCATGTGAGGCTGCGGTGAGGCTGGCCTCGCCACAGTATAACAGGCCAGAGGGGAATCAGTTTCAGATGTTATTTAAAGCCAGCGGCATCATTGCTAGCATTTCTTTTTATATAAAGCTCCTGTTAACTGAAGTCAGTAGCTTCATTTTTTTTCCAGTTTTCACCGTCTAACCCTACAGTTCTACCTACCTGCTGCAGTTACAGTGCCTTATGAATATTCGCCCCCCAGCTGCAAGTCGTTCAGGGTTTGACTCTATAAGTTTTGTACATTGAGAGAATGAGATTTTAACCCATTCTTCCTGCAAAAGAGCTGGAGCTCAGTGAGGTTGGCTGGAGAGCATGTATGAACAGCATTTTTCAGAACTTTACACAGATTCTTCGATTATATTTAGGTCTGGAGTTTGACTTGGCCATTCTAAAATCTGAATATGTTTATTTTTGAATCATTCCATTGTGGATTTTGCTTTATGTTTTGGATCATTGTCTTGTTGGAAGAGAAATCTCCGTCCCAGTCTCAGGTCTTTTGCAGACTCCAACAGGTTTTCTTCCAGAATGGTCCTGTAATTGGTTCCATCCATTTTCCAATCAATTTTAACCATCTTCCTTGTTGAAGAAAAACAGACCAAAACCATGATGCTGCCACCACCATGTATGACAATGGGGATGGTGTGTTCAGGTTTATGAGCTGTGTTGCTTTTATGCCAAACAAACATTTTGCATTGTGGCCAAAATGTTTGATTTTGACCAGAGCACCTTCTTTCACATGTTTGCTGTGTCTCCCAGTAGGCTTGTGGCAAACTTTAAATGAGACTTTTAATGGATATCTGTGAGAAATGTCTTTCTTCTATAATGGCCAGATTTGTGCAGCATGGCTGATTGTTATACTACGGACAGTCTCCCACCTCAGCTGTAGATCTCTGCAGTTCATCCAGAGTGTTCATGGGCCTCTTGGCTGCATCTCTAATCAGTTTTCTCCTTGTTAGAGCTGAAGGTTTAGAGGGACAGACCAGTCTTCAAAGATTTGCAGTGGTCTGATACTCCTTCCATTTCAATATTATTGCTTGCACAGTGCTCATTGGGATGATAAATCTGTCTTTAAACTTCTTCACAACAGTATCTGGGACCTGCCTGGTGTGCTCCTTGTTCTTCATGATTCTCTCCGCGCTTTAGACAGATCTCTCCCAATGAGCAAAAATTGGTTGAAAATACGATAAAACAACATCTAAATTTAATTGAAAAGTAAAAAGCTGTAGTTTTCAGATTGTTGAAAAAGTTGAAAATTTGGTTTGCAACGTTTTCAAGGTCTAATATTGGACTAAAGTGGAACCAACACAGCGTAATTTTCAACAACTATTTCTGAACTAAATAAAGACTTTGAGGGACCGACCAGATTTAGCCTAAACTCCAACATCAAAATAATGTCTGGTGTTTGGGGGGACTGAGACTGTAACAGAAAAAGTGCAATTATACAGAGACTTGATTACACACAGGTGGATTCCATGTATCATCATCAGTCATTTAGGTCAATATTGGATCATTCAGAGATCCTCACTGCTCACAACTTCTGGAGAGAGTTTGCTGCACTAAAAGTAAAGGGGCTGAGTAACTTTGCATGCCCCATTCCTCAGTTTTTTTTTATTTGTTGAAAGAGTTTAAAACATATAATACATTTTGTTCCACTTCATGATTGTGTCCAACTTGTTTTTGATTCTTCACAAAAATCACAATTTTATATCTTTATATTTGAAGCATGAAATGTGGTAAAAGGTTGAATACTTTGGCAAGGCACTGTAGCTGCACTGCAACGGTCTAACATGGCTTCTGTATGTATGCATTTTAAAGGTAAAGTGCTTCCCGTTAGGGTTCAGGAAACACCCTGATTTGCACCACATTTCGACTGAATCACTTGAAATTCTAACCTTCTACAAAAAATTAATTTCCCAACAGATTTTAAGGTTATTCTATTAGCTTTTTTATTTCAATATTTATTTATATAGGATAATCATCTCTCTTTTTAACACCGAACTGAAGATGAAATTTAAAGTTTAATTAGGAAGTCAAGAAATTGGTAAGAAAACCAAATAGGGTAATTAAAAAAAAACTGTTAGGGCTTGTTAAGACCACTGACATTTCATTTTTTATTTCAACCTCTTAATTTTTTCAGGATAATTATTGACTTTTGAGGTTTAATGGCTTAAATGTTGTGTTCTTTTAAATCAAAAAAATATATTTTTTGACTCACCGTTGATGATTGGTGTGAACACAGCCATGCCTTCAAAGTTGGGATTGCTCACAGTTTTATCCAGAATCAGACCTCCGATACTAAGAAAATTGAAACATGGTTTATATGTATATATATATATATATATATATATAAACTTTAACATAAATTTATAAAATATATTCTTACTCTATAAGATGTAAATAAAACTAAAATACATATTGTTATCCTGAGAACATTTCAAGGAGGATTTTATTATCTAAGCACAATTGGTCTTTTTTAAAAATGTATAATAAAAATGTTGTAGAAGCACTTCTATCTTTAGATATTTACAAAATTACCTATTTGTTGGGGCCAACATTGGGTGCATATATCTTCTCAGACAGATGGATAGGTAGATAGAGGAAAGGTTAAAATGACCTATTATTGGTTGACCCACCTGCTGATAGACATGGCCAAAATAACTGGCTGCCAGCCCGAATTTAGGACCTCTCTGATTGGTGGACTGCGTCTGGCAGCGATGACCCACACAGGGATAAGGAGCAGGAAAAAGCCACACACCACTGAGGGAAGGTACCACCTGTCTGAAGGGGAGCAAATCAGACAAGCAAAAATTATCAGCCACCATGCAACTGAACAATAATTCTGCTTTCTGTTTCCTTCAATCGTTTTTGCTGATGCATCTCTTTCAACTCTAGGCTACAAATTAAAATGAATTTTGCTGCCCTCCTCTGGTTGAAACACACTTCAACAAATAACATTGAGCATCCAGCTGCACAAAGATGCATGAATTCCATTTTCTTTATGAGCTTTCCAGATGTTTGCATTACAGAATTAGTCTACACCTTCAGCTACTCAGCATTTGTGCTGCTTTTGTTCTTCTAGTTTAAGTTGTGTATCTGACCTCTGTAGGTAAAGAAGAAGCTGCTGACACCAGCGAGCAGGGACAGGGTGATTAGGTCACCGAGACTGGCAGCAATGGGCGTGGCCACGTTATCTGGGTTGACTCCAACCTTTCTAGAGCCAATAATCACCACCACCACCACCAAACCTGTAACAGCCCATAAAAAAGAATCATTAAAGCATGCAGACCAGATTAACTGTTGTATTCTGTTTTCTACTCTACAACAACTCGGTCTTCACTAACCTAGAGCAAGTGCAGCAATGAAGGCTGTGGTGATGCTGCTGGCACACAGGATGGCAGCCTGCATACCATCGACCCTTGCCCTGGTCAGAGAACCCAGAACCAAAGCAGCTATGGCTGCCAGGAAGCCCACAACTGTAGCCTGCACCTGGAAACAATAACAGCCCCCCGATGATAAGAATGCAGTTATGTTGATAATCTGGTTATTCCACCAGCTCCTCTTGGCCCGGCTCTACTCCATCGGATCGATTGTCAAACATTTCTGTTACTGCTTTTTTTATGACTGTTACTGGGATTAGTACATTCAGAGATGAGTAGGACCAAACAAACTGTACCATACAGACAAAAACACATTTCATAATTTAGTTGGAGTAGATCTAGGCCAAGAAGATCAGAATAGAATAGAAGAGAATAGATATTTTATTGTCTGACAGTTGGTGTTTTTTTTAGCACCTAGGGAAAAATCTACAACAGAGGAAAAACTACTGTTTAGTCATTAAGAAGGACCAACTACAGAGGTTTACAACAGAAAAAAATTTACTTTAGTTCTCAAAACTAAACTGTACAGTCTAAAGAAATAAAATTGTGCATTTAATACAGCAATTAACTACAGGAAAAATGGAGCAAAATGTGAAACTAACAGCAGATATATGAACAACTGTTTAAGTTTGTTGGGAGCTGTGATAGTTAGAAAACACTAGTGCACCTAGAGAGTAGCAGTCTATTACTAAAAGATCTATCTAGCTCTGCAATAAGCTCATGCGTGGGTTGGAAGACATTGTCCAACAGTGATGTTGTTTTTGATAGTTTATTTTCCTTAGATAGGTTTATAATTCAGTATAGGAGTTTCATGTAACAAAAAACAACAATAGCTTTGCAGCTGGTGTCGCATCCAAGTCCCCTTTTTATTGGCTGCTGTTTGGAGTTGGGTGAGTAATGAGTCTCCACTGTCTGACCGCTTCTGGATTTTGCCCGTCTAGACTTCAGTCTTCACTCCATCTCACCCCTGCTGACTGACTGTACCTAGCACAGACCCATCCAGACTTTACTGGAAATCAGAGCTCACATCCAGCTTGTATCCAAAAACTAAAATCACACTTCTGGCCACTCTTGTCTCTGATCATCTGTTTCACTTAATCTTTTCATTTTTTTGCCTCAAAGCATTATCCAAAGAGCTGCGGAGGTGAGCTGTTTTGGATTGAGAGGTGGACATAGCGATGCAAACAGAGTTTCCAGGGATAAAGGACAGAAGATACCAGGTGTTTGTGTTAGTTATTAATAAGAGGGTTTGCGTGTGTTTGTGTTGGTGCAGCGCCACCTGAATCAGGGCCATGTTACAGATCACCATTCTCCACCGCTGCTGGGCTTCGTCCAGCTGCCCGGTGTTCGCCTGTGGATGGGACCTCTTTTACATAATATTTCCTCACATCTGTGTCATTGTGGAAACTTCTTAAAGTGCTAAATGTCTTGCATTTTAGTGAAGATGATCAGTTTCCTGACAGATCTCATTTTTATAGTGCGTGTGAGGATGTTAGTGTTTTTGCACTCACTGCTGTTGACAGCCTGGATGCCAGTGTCATCTCTAGATTTCCCTTCAGCCCCACCAGAGCTGGCACCAAGATAAACACCTCAGAGATCTCCTGGAACACCTCCCAGTGCTAAAAAGAACGGAAATTAGTTTTTTTATTTTTTAGCAATTCTGATGTACATCTCGGTGACAATAAGTAGAAGACCTTTTCTATCTTATTTTCCTTTTTCCATGGATCAATTTACATTTTAAAGCAGATATCAACATCCACTGTTTAAACAGACACAACTTTTTTCTACTTGAATTGTTGGATCAGATTAATCTTTTCTTGTTTAGTGATTGTTGGATAAAAAAAAATGCTTTCAATTTGCTAAATGCCACATTAATGGCAGACATCATTCTTTTAACATTTTTCCCTGGTATTTAGAAGATGAGCCTTATAAAGTGGTTTACTTTGCTCAATATTACTCAAAGCAATAGGTCTCCTTTCACAGGCATTTGAAAATAGTTAACTGGAATTTTACTAATAAAACAGGTTTAAGTGAGGTCACTATACAACTATGACTTTGTTGGGGCGTGCTTTGGTGACACAGTGCATGACACGGGCGACAAGGGTCCGAGTCTATCCTGTGGTCCTTTCCTGCGTGTCTCTCCCCCTCTTTTGTGCCCCCTCTCCTATCAGCCTACTGTCCATAAAGATGAATCACTAGTGACATAAAAACTCAACAAAAAAAAATTACTTTGTTGTCTTTGAGCCTATTTAAACCATTCCAAGTTTGTTTGAAATACAGCCATTAAAGTCAAATAACACAAATTGTTCAAAAGCATAGTGATCAAATGCTCAACCTTAGCTGTACTAATAAGTAGGAATTTCTATGAAAGTAGAAATTTTTTAAAATATCCACACATGTGTTTTGGCTCTTAGCATTTACCAAAAACTCACACACTTGTTTGAGCCCTACATTATTCTATACCATTTAGTCAGATTTTATAAACTTCAAATTTCAGCTGAAAACATGTCTGGGTTTAGGATTAGGATTAACTTCTACCAACAAAGTGTAAAATAAAATAAAAAGTCTCTAGTATTGTAAGCAAACTGTGATGCAAAGGTGATTATTAAATATTTTGGCCCCAGATGGAGCCTCAGAATCCTCCTCAAAGAGAAATGTGCTGGTGGAGGGTGTGATAACCCCCTGTAGATATGAAACAGGACAAGCAGTAGGAGCTTCTCTAGTGGGGCTGATGTCTGTGTAGAAAAGGGGTCTGCATCCTTTCCATTCCAAAGAGCCATTTTACCCTAAGTCCAACTAAAAACTGCAAATGGCGGTTGAAAAAAATCACTGCTTATTATTTTTTCAAATATCTGCAATAGGAAATCTGTTGCCATTTTAAACAAAAAAACAGCTTATTTGCATCTTTGTTTTTTTTTTTATAAGGACAACACATGAAAGTGTCATTTAGGGGAAACATTCAGATTTTGTTCAGTGGGATATTATTTTATGTAAAAAATAAATACATGGTTTCATAGTTACAAGAAATATAGATCTAAAATCATTCTGTAGTGAAAATTTAATTGAAATGTTCTTTAAAACACTGCTAAAGCTTGTAAGAACAGAATTTGTTAATTTAAACCATTAATTGGCTCTTTATTATGTTTAATCTCTATTAAGAGATTGTGGAGGGTCCAAAGAGACACTTGCAGCTCTGGAGCCACAGGTTGTCGACCCTGGAGAATCTGCTAACAACAAATGATAAAAAAAAAAAAAAAAAAGTAAAAATTTTATTTTTCAAACTGTTTCCAGTTTGCATGAAATTGCAGATAAAAAGTGGCTTTAAAGGGCAAGACACATTTGATTCAGTACGGCTTCTGATCCAACAGAAAATCAGGTTGTATGTAGCTGGTAGCAATCTTAATATGTTGAAATTAATGAGGCCGTATAGACGGTGGTTTCTCCAGTAAGATAAACCCAGGGTCTATTTTAGCCTCGCTTACGCATCATTCTGATGGGAAAGTATTGAGTCAGACAGGAAGTTAACATCTGTGGAAAATACGTTCGGTTGAAAACTCAATGTAAACTGATCTGTAATGCAGTTCTAATGAACAAATAATTATCACAGATGCTCACATTTTGTGCAAACACAGCTGATTGGACAGACTTGAAAGTGTGCAAACAATAAAGCATTTAATTTTATGGTGTAAATACCGATGGTAAGCAGTAAAAAATACATTCTGGTTGTAGTCTACACAGGTTTTGAAGAAATCAGACCTCAGTATATAAAGTCTGATACATGTGGCATATTGTTGCCTTCAAAAGTAAAAGACAGTAAATGTGGCGCTCTTCTTTAGCGTAACCTTAGCGCCAATTTACAGGAATAGAAAACTGAATGAAGCGTCCAGTAGGCCTACTATTGACATTGAAGGAGTATTTGGGAAACCTATTTCGTTCCGAGGTGGAAGTTCTTATGAAGACTTTAGGAAGCACAAATTTGGATCCTACCAAGATATCTAATAACAGGACTTCTGGTTTCTCTTTCTTGATACAACACACAATTACAAGAGGAAATAGCAGTCATTACAAATAGTGAAAAAATGTCATGCTTTTCTGTAGTTCTGCACAATCATGAAAAAACACTGAAATATTTGAATACATACTTGCACTATGTCCATGACCATCCTGGCTGCCACCATTCCCAGTCCAGACACCAGATAAGGGAGTAGGACCTGTTTCTCAATGATCCATGAGTTTTCTGGTAGAAAGCTGAGGCCTGAGCGAGTCAGTTTGCAGGTGAAGCCCCTCAGCTTCTTTCCCTGTAACCGGAGCTCCAGGGCCCGATATGTCACCACCATAGCTTTAAGTATGAACCCATCACCACCTAAAGGTTCAGCTCTGTTCTGAGACTTGGACTCAGGGGTAAAACTCCACTTCCTGTTTAGATCTTAAACATCATTCTTAAGATTAAATATTTGCAACAAAGGGTCTGATTTGATCGCTTCAAGTCTACCTTAGAGGTTTGGTGTTGGTGGCATCACAAAGATCCTCAGTGGGAACATGGGTCACTACATCCACTATAGTGGAGTACGCACACAAACACATAAGTCCAATTGCTGCAGGTCTGTTGGCCTCTTCTGACACCTTTGCATCTGACAGATCTTCACTAATCACTACACACACACGCACACACACATATACAAACACACACATCCCTCCTTTCACCTATCACGCCTCACTCTTCAGCAGCCGAGCGGCCGAGGCTGAGCGCTGGAAGCCTGGTCTGTCTCGGGGTCTGAAGAGGATCCACCTCCCCTGGGACAGGGACATCCAAAAGGCCAGAAGCTTCCTCTCAACCCTCCTGTTCTGCCATTCTTTATCCCCCTTCTCTTTCCACATCTCCTTCTCTTTGTCCACAATGCTGTGATGTCCCGTTGGAGTCTGCCCCCCGGATTGCAGTCCCTTCTTCATACTGATAAAGCCCGTCCAGGCTGTGACCTTCTGGCTGATAGAAGTGGTGATGCTGGAAGCTGTTCGAATGAAGCAAATACGTTTTTCCTATGCCTCTGTTAGTTCCCTTCAAGTTCCAATAGGAGGGATGACCAATGACGAGGTGTTGTTGTGGAAAGGACAGACTGAGTGAGTGTGGGTGTTTGAAGGAGGATGAGAGACACGATTCCTCTTCAGCTTAAAATGGACCACACTTCATGAGGATCTTCTTCCCCTGATTTGTTTAGAAACCACTTCAGAGGACATTGCAGTTGTACTCCTGTATTCTTTGATAGCTCCTCCTCTCTCTGCAGCCCAATGTCCTGAATGTGAGCTGTTGACGCACTCCTAGCAGCAGCAGCAGGTGCTGTACCTGTCGCTGACACGTGGTGCTGCTGCTGTCTGGGAAGGACACAGCTGATTCTTCTTGATCAGCTACTGTTTGTTGTCAAAAATCAGCTGTTTTTATTATATAATATAGTTTCCTATGTCTGGGAAGGGTTAAGAACTAACCCCCTCCCAGCAGCTAAACATTCAAAAGGGAAATCCAACATAAAGGTAGTTCTGGCAACTATTTCCTTTGTTTACATTACAGGACAACAATATGTAATGTTTTATTTGACAAAAAAAAAAACAGTGTAGATGCTCAGCAGGAACCACACCTAAAGCCCCTCACAGACACGCAAACATTAGGACAGTGACTCAGCTGAAAATTGTCCTTGAGACATGACTCTCCTCCCTGCAGCTCCCCCTTCTGACTCACATATAGAGGCAATAAAACATCACATACAACAGTGTTCATCCTCTTGTTTTCCCCAAAATCTACAATCTGTTTTCTTTCTGAGGTTTGACGGAGCAGACCTGCATGAAGAGTTGAAATAAATCAAACATAGCAGTAAACGTTTTTCTTTTATAAATAACTAAAAACAAATGCCCTGCAAGCATAAAAAACCCTCTGTTACTCAGACATTTCAAAATAAACCCCAGTGCTTCCAGTAACCTTTAGAAGAGTTGGTCCCTATGTAATTGAACATCAGCAAGGGACAGTGTTGTCTTGGGGACAGTTGTCCATGGTGGCAATCAAGACAGTTAAATAATATATTTTATTTTTTCGTTATGAATATTTCTACATCAGGTAGCTCTAGATGCTAATGGATGTATGCAGGAAGGATCTCCTGTAGCTGTCTGTCTTACGGTGGGTCTGGAGAAACCTCTGACTGAAGATTCTCTGATGTTGTCCAACAGTCTCCTGAAGAGGATGCTCAGGATTGTCCATAAAGTTCTTCATTTATTATTCACAATTATTTTTTGTATGATCATCTCCAGAGGTTACCCCAGCAGACGATTACAGAAGACTCTAGAAGGACAGTCTGCTCTGTCCCTTCTTATAGACAATTCCATGGCTGCTTCTCCGGTCCAAGATATTTATAGTCCTCCATCAGCTCCATGTTTTCTCCCATGATGTTACTACTCTTTTACCTGTTCATGTTTCTTCTGAACTTTTTTTATTGACATTAATGGTCAGATGATTGTTTCCATAGCATGCCACAACATGGTCCACCATCCCAAAGTACTTAGCTTATCTCAGCACCATAAGGACAGAGGTTCCTTATCAGTCAGTTGTGCCTTGAACAAGTTTTATTTTATTTTATTGATTTTATGCCTCTACAGCTAGTTGGGTGTTGGTTTTCCCACATATTGAGTAGATGATGTGTTAGTTTCATATTAGTCTCTGGACTCCCTAGGCCATATATTTTGCTATAGATTTACATTTTATAGCAAAATATATGTCTATTAAAACTTAAAAGTTTACTTCAAACTTTGTTGCATATTTTAATATTTCCAAAAATCACAACGTTGATTTTTATTTTTTTAAAGATTTGTTTGTTATTATTCTGCGGGTATGAAAGGATTTTGTTGTTGTACTTAACAAACTCTAACAGTAAAAACGAAACCTAGTTAGATGTGTTAGATCGTCTTTTAGTTACATATTTTTACACTATGGGGGTAAAAAAAAAAAATGCTTTATGTTACATAGTCCGTCCTATGCTAATGCTGGATTAGAGTCTCTAAACATCATCATGGCTGACATGATTATACCTTCTTGGTGACGCAAATTTTCAGAGCAGACTGGTTGATTGCTTCCAACCGTGTACACTCTAAAAAGATAATGCTGCTGCTCAATTGCTTCAGTTGAAAACAAGTATTTCAATCAAGTTGATCCAACTTAAATAATCAATTTTATAAAAACCGTAATAAATTAAGTTGGGCAAATATTACAGCTTATATTAAATTAGAAATACCTCACCTCTCATTGAATCTGATCTGATCTGCTGCTTATTAAATCCACTAGTTCTGTGTTATCTGTTGTCTGTTTTCATTACAATATCTTTAATGTTTATTGTAGATGGTCTATAAAAACATGGAAATAAAATCTGCTCTACGTGTTCATGATACATAACGATTCTTAAAAGCAAAGGATTAATTAAACTTCTCTTTATAAACAGTTTTTCTTGTTTCATGTATTTCCTGATTTTTAACCTTCCCCGGACGATAACAGAAACTCCAGCTCTACCGTATCTTAGAGTTTATTTATCATCGAGGGTCAGGGTCACCTGCTAGGTCATCAGGACCTCCACATCTGTAGCACATATTGAATTAAGATAACCCTGATTATGGGTTCAGATTTATACACAGGCTTTTTTCTTTAAAACTAAAAATGTTCGTAAGAAAAAAAAAAAAAAAAAAAATGTATACTTGGACAGTCAGTCTAAAGAGTGCAGATAATAACCAAGCAAACAGAAGCCATTAAAGAGTTTCTATCATTTGAATGAAGCCCTTTTACTGTTCCGGACCTCACAGGTTCCATTATGTTTCATCTACCAGACTTTACACCAACCTGTATGCGGTCCAACAGCATTCCGGCTGTCACCATTCCCTGCCCGGCCAGCAGGTATGAAGGCAGAACTTGGAGGCACATTATCCAGGAGGACTCTCCACAGGAAGGCTTCTCCTGTCCCATCTTCTCATGAGAGTACAACCCAGCTGCTGAGATTCATGACTTACTGTAAAACAGTCATTCTTCAGTCCTCTCCCTCCAACCTGGCCCAAAAATGGAACAAACTCTGTTTATCTTTCAGTGTGCCAACCTGCTCCCTGATCCTCTGTTGCTCAGTCCATTTCCCAGCTTTGTTTCATTTGCTGGAAGTCAAAAATCAACTACCGGTACGTGCTGATAATAACCATGAGCTCAGCTTGGATTGTGACAGGCATTTTCTTTGTTGTAATCAACTGTAATTGGCTCCACACCCCATACATTTCACCACATTTGTTTGCTCTACCAACTGGTTTATAAGTTTATAATAGCAGGATTTTTAGAGATAGTTGGACACGCAGTAGTAGAAATTGCGAAGTGCAATTACCAATGTTACAGGGCTTTGCAGATAAACCCTGAAAAGTGGGGTGTGCTTGTGAATTCGCCCTGCTGAGTCAATACTAACTGTATACCTAGTAATCAGTGGTTGCCTACACTAGAGTTCTTTTTTTGTTTAGTTTTTTTGCTGTGGCAGTTGCAAGTCCATGGTACGCCTCCACCAGCTTTGTTCATCTTGGGGCACAGATGAATGCCCTGCCTCCTCTGCACCTTAGCTTAAGTCAGACTAAACCGAAAGCCTCTCTTAACATCACAATCTATGGACCTTTGGGTTGTTGTTTTGCTGGAAGATAAATCTACACTCCCAGCTTCCTCATTTCTTTAGTTTCCAACCTCATATAGTGTTTCAGTGGGCCAAAAGGATTCAGGTTTGGTCTTTAATCTGAAAAGAGCAGCTTTTTACATTTCTTTAATATATTACCAACATGGTTTGAGACAATCTGCAAACTGGAAATCTTGTGAGTTTTCTAGAAAAAATAATTTCTTAGATAAAGACCAGATTATTTGGGCGGATATAGCACATTCCCACCACTGTAGAGGGTGCTTAAAGGTATAGTGGAGGATTTTTGTGAATTTTTTAAACGACCGGTCTTCTCCATTTGCATATGCACAACCCTGAACCCGCTCCAGGGAGACAACACCTATTAAACGCGTGCAAGAGTGAGCACAAGCTCATTTCTAGTGGTGATGTGAAATTTATTTCTCCAAATAGCATGCCAAACTTTACCTGTGGAGTAGAAACTTTGCAATGGAGGCATCAGTGGGAAGCTCATTCTGTGCTTACAGTGTACACCAGGGGGAAACCAGTTAAAAATCAGCAGGGTCCGAACAACGGAAATCAACAACCAGTAAATGTCCAGAGACATTTTTGATTATCTGTTACTTTAAACAGAATTTAACACTGAAATAAAATCATGTTTTTATGCACCCATGCTATATTATTATTTAGTTATTGTATTGTATTTTATTATATTTATGATATTTTATCATCACATAAAAAAATGTTAGAACTGTAAATTTACAGTCATATGTTTATATTACTGTTTTTATATATGTTTTTTTTTTTTTCAAGGCTGCACTTTTAAAAAGAGGAAATTGTCCAGAGAGCTGTTCCACACGAAATTTCTTTTTGTTTTAAGGTTGTGTAAACAAAATGACAAATAAAATCTGTCTAAGTATACATTGACTTTTTAAATAATTATTATTTTTTTTTAAATAGAAAATGTTTAAATTTTAAGATTGACAATTAGGAGGACCAATTATTTTGATGATTCAACCGGAAATAAAAATCCTCCACTATACCTTTAAGTACAAGTTTCGGCTCCCAATTGGGCACTTAAACACAGGTTTTGGCTCCTGAGAGACAATTGAAGCATACTTTTTGGTTCCTAAAGGGGTATTTTTGGCTTCCCAAGAGGGCAGCGTTTTAACATGTGTTTTGGCTCCCGAGAGAGCAGTGTAGCATGCCTTTTGGTTCCTAAAGGGGTATTTTTGGCTTCTTAAAAGGGCATTTTAACACACAATTTGGCTCCAGAGAGGGCACTTTACTACGTGTGTTTTCAACAAATACGTCAGGAGGAGGGACGACGACCACCTGCCCCCCCTTGCATGTCACTGGAATGAATCCAGCAAAATGCCACTTTGAAAAGGATTTTGAAATGGCATCAGTATTATATCATCCAAAATCCCAATTTCTAAGCTTTTTTTTTTTTTTTTAAATAAATCTTTTAACTGTGTTTGATTTTAGTAACTAAAAGACAAAAAGACCTCTTCATAGAACAGAGTCACCGCCCCAGTTGCTATAAATATCCACTCTGGACCTC